GTCCGTCGTCCTCGCGCGCGCCCGCATGCCTGCGCGCGCCCTTGCCCGCACGCCGCGCCGCAGTTCGCGCTCGCCCTTGTTCGTCGTCCTCGTGCGCGCCCGCACGTCGCGCCGGTCGCGCAGCAGCTCATGCTCACCCTCGTCCGCCGTCCTCGCCCGCACCCTCGCGCTGAAGCTCGCCCGCACGCCACGCCGGCCGCACAGCGCCTCGTCTTTGTCCGTGCTCTCGTGCCCGCAGCGCAATGCGTCGTGGTGGTGGGTGCGCATGGTGGGCCGGGTACAGAAAAGGCAAGAGTGACAGGTGGGGTCGAGGGCGGACACAGACGGACGACGAGGACGCGAAGACGTCCGCTTTCTGTCCGCTTTGGCCCCAAATCGAGAGCAACTTTGGTCTGGAAATGGGGCAAAAGAGGACACAGACCGGACGAAAACTTCCATATGCTCCCATGCGTTGGGTTGTTCGATTTGTCCGTTTTACCCTAAACAGACACAAACAGACGATTTGGGGTCAATTTGGGTCACGCGCTGGAGTTGGCCTTAATACCTATTTCAACTTATATGCTTTCCAAGTAGTTCATATCCACGGAAGAGACTATTCGAATAGATCATTTAACTCTACAGGGGTGTACTTCTTTACACACGCTCTCACCCCTTACCACCATGTACACGTCTTGTATCTCAGCAACCTTCAAGCGAAGGCCTGGCGAGGGTGTCGTCCATGACCTGACTAATCCACACAAGACTAGTCTAGATTTATCGCCTATTTGAGGTTGTATCCGCAAAGGAAGTCCGACCGAAGTTTCTATCACGACCCCAAACGATGAGAATAGGGTTCCCAAGAGCACCATCCGGGTGTCACTTGGTACACCGTGCCTCGCTGTCTCTACCGCATTGATACGTCCATTTTGCATCATGTTTTTATGTTGATATTTATTGCATTATGGACTATTATTACACTTTATGATACAATTCTTATATCTTTTCTCTCTTATTTTGCTAGATTTACATAAAGAGGGAGAACGCCGGTAGCTGGAATTCTGGACCGGAAAGGAGCAAATCTGATATCCCTATTCTGCACAACTCCAAATGTATTGAAACTCTACAGAGAATTATTTTAAAAAACATAAAAAATATTGGGCGAAGAAATTCCAGGAGGGGACCCACCAGGTGGCCACAAGCCTGAGGGGCGCGCCCTACCCACAAGGCACGCCCCCTGAGCTTGTGAGCCCCTAGCCAGCATCCGGTGCCCATCTTCTACTATATGACGTGTTTTGACCTACAAAAAATCACAAGAAGGCATTCGGGACGAAGCGTCGCCATCTCGAGGTGGAACCTGGGCAGGAGCACTTTTGCTCTCCGGCAGAGCGATTCCGCCGGGGAAACTTCCCTCTGGGAGGGGGAAATCGAAGCCATCGTCATCACCAATGATCCTCTCATCGTGGGAGGACCAGTCTTAATCAACATCTTCACCAGCACCATCTCATCTCAAACCCTAGTTCATCTCTTGTATCCAATCTTTGTCTCAAAACCTCATATTAGTACCTGTAGGTTGCTAGTAGTGTTGATTACTCCTTGTAGTTGATGCTAGTTGGTTTATTTGGTGGAAGATCATATGTTCAGATCCTTAATGATATTTAATACCTCTCTGATCATGAACATGCACATGCTTTGTGAGTAGATACTTTTGTTTCTGAGGACATGGGAAAAGTCTTGTTATAAGTAATCATGTGAATTTGGTATTCGTTCGATATTTTGATGATATGTATGTTGTCTTTCCTCTAGTGGTGTTATGTGAATGTCGACTACATGACACTTCACCATGATTTGGGCCTAGGAGAAGGCATTGGGAAGTAGCAAGTAGATGATGGGTTGCTAGAGTGACGGAAGCTTAAATCCTAGTTTATGTGTTGCTTCGTAAGGAGCTGATTTAGATCCACATGTTTAATGCTATGGTCAGATTTATCTTAATTCTCTTCTCATAGTTGCGGATGCTTGCGAGAATGGTTAATCATATGTGAGAGGCTTGTCCAAGTAAGGATAGCACCCAAGCACCAGTCCATCCACATACCAAATTATTAAAGTAGCGAACGTGAATCATATGAGCATGATGAAAACTAACTTGATGGTAATTCACATGTGTCCTTGGGAGAGCTTTGCTTTATATAAGAGTTTGTCCAGGGTGCTCCTTTGCTATAAAAAGGATTGGTCCACCTTGCTGCACTTTTCTTACACTTGTTACTTGTTACCCATTATGAATTATCTTACTAACATACTATCTGTTACCGATAAATTTAGTGCTTGTAGAAAATGCCTTGCTGAAAACCGCTTGTCATTTCCTTCTACTTCTCGTTGGGTTCGACACTCTTACTTATCGAAAGTTCTAGGATTGATGCTATACTTGTGGGTCATCAAGACTCTTTTCTGGCGTCGTTCCCGGGGAGTGAAGCGTCTTTGGTGAGTACAATTTGGTAAGAAAAAAATTATATTATGTGATGAAATCTACTGTCACTTGTCACTATGAAAAATAATCCTTTGAGAGGCTTGTTCGGGGTATCTTCACCTCGACCGGAAGCACAAAGAGTTGCTCCTCAACCTATTGCACCTACTGAAAATGTTTATTATGAGGTTCCTTCGGGTATGATAGAGAAACTCCTAGTTAATCCTTATGCAGGAGATGGAATATTACATCTTGATATGCACCTAATATTTTGTGGATGAAGTTTGTGGATTATTTAAGCTTAAAGCATACCATGGAGTTCAACACAACACCCTATGACTGATCTTCAAGCTCAAAGCATGCCATGGAGTTCAACACACTACCGCACCTGCATATCGATCATACTTGCAAACTAGCATACTACACAAGCTCTTATTCACAAGCTAGTACCACTTTGTAGGATCGAAAGTATGTCTAGAGGGGGGTGATTAGACTACTTGACCAAATAAAAACTTAACCTTTTCCCAATTTTAGTTCTTGGCAGATTTTAACAACTTAGCACAAGTCAAGCAATCTTAACACAATTCAAGCAAGCATGCAATAAGTATATAAGCAACGGAAAGTAAAGCATGCAACTTGCAAGAATGTAAAGGGAAGGGTTTGAAGAGTGCAAACGCAATTGGAGACATAGATGTTTTTGGCGTGGTTCCGATAGATGGTGCTATCGTACATCCACGTTGATGGAGACTTCAACCCACGAAGGGTAACGGCTGCGCGAGTCCACGGAGGGCTCCACCCACGAAGGGTCCACGAAGAAGCAACCTTGTCTATCCCACCATGGCCATCGCCCACGAAGGACTTGCCTCACTAGGGTAGATCTTCACGAAGTAGGCGATCTCCTTGCCCTTACAAACTCCTTGGTTCAACTCCACAATCTTGTCGGAGGCTCCCAAGTGATACCTAACCAATCTAGGAGACACCACTCTCCAAAAGGTAATAGATGGTGTGTTGATGATGAACTCCTTGCTCTTGTGCTTCAAATGATAGTCTCCCCAACACTCAACTCACTCTCATAGGATTGGATTTGGTGGAAAGCTGATTTGAGTGGAAAGCAACTTGGGGAAGGCTAGAGATCAAGATTCATATGGTTGGATTGGAACATCTTGGTCTCAACACATGAGTAGGTGGCTCTCTCTCAGAAAATGAGTAGTGGAAGTGTAGGCATGTTCTGATGGCTTCCCTCACAAATGAGGAGAGGGTGGAGGAGTATATATAGCCTCCACACAAAATCTAACTGTTACACACATTATACCAAACTCG